ATAAAATTATTATTGTTATTGTGGTGTCTATAATATATGAATAATATTAAGATTAATATGTGATGTGAGGCTGTATTATTCAAACAACTCTTTATGACTTTGTAGTGGCAATTAGCACTCAAGCTCATCCGCCGCCGTTGGGAGGCAATTGATGTATAATTAGGAGAGAATTCAACTTACCGAAAATTTTAACCCTAATTAAAAACAGGTATATGGGAGAGAACTAGGCATTATCCTTATAAACAGTTATCCAAAAATCTGCAAAATTCATTTCCTGCACAAATAGCTTTCTGATTTTTTGACCTACATAAAGGCAGGAATTAATAAAATTATTACATCAGTTTTGACTACGAAATAAAAAAAAATTTGAATGAAAATTAAAAAAAAATTGGCTGATACTTTGACTTTGAAAATATGTAAGTAGTGTTTTTTTAGATGATATCGCTCTCGAGTCTTGAATTCATTCACATTTGTATGATTAAGATTGAAATGTTTTAATTTTCTGGTACGGAATCATAAGATCGTTAGTCTAAAGACTGGTTGGATAAATACTTTCTCACTTTCCTATCCTGGAAACGTATTTACATTTCCCTAAAAGAAGAGCATACCACATCCCGAACAGTAGTTTAATCTAGGCCTTGCTCTTTGTGCCTGTTTGTGACGTATATCAATATACCACGACAGATTTGTATTTCTTATTTCTAAAATGCTCTATAATTCCTCGCTAATTTGCTACTAAATCCAAATATTTGTGGCTCAGTTGGAAAATAGACGAAATGCTAGCCTGATATCAAGCAAGCATTACATATAGCGTACCTAGAAGGGCTATTATTTGTCGTTACTTTTTTGCTGACAACGTAAAAGTTACAATTTTCGATTGTAAATGACTGAATTTGCCGTAGAATTAGTAGAATTTATTAGGTAATTTGTAATAATCTCAATTTTGACATGTTTCTTCAAAAATGATTTCAAGTTTAGTGTCTTTTGGTGGATATTATTTAAATGCCAAAAAAAACACTAATAATAACAATTAACAATTTATAACAATAACAAGCGAAACACAAGTAACAAAAAGGCACAAGGAGTGAAACATACAACAAGAACAAAGTAACAGAAAGAACAAGATAATACAACAATAGTAACAATAACAAAGGTAACAACAATACAACAGAGTAGATAAAAGCACTTACGAATGGTGGTGATAGCGGTAGACGAGAGACTGTCTTGAGATAAGAAATTTTAGAGTATTTATAGGATAGGGTTAGTAATTTTGATAGAATGTTCTAGAAGGAAAAGTAGTGAGAGAGAGGGTGAAGACACTAGTTTATAGGAATACATAGAATTAGACAGTACAGAATTCAAGAGAAAGCAATTAAGGGTAAAACCAGATATTAGTATGGGAGTGCATGCAGGTATGGTTGAAGTTGGATTTCCAGGTAAAAGTAATTGAAAGAACAATAGAATTTAGATTGAAAGGAAACCAAAGTATTTACAAGATAAGAAGTTGAAAAGAATTGAAATAATATTTGAAGTGAAATAATATTCGAAATGAAATATTATTTGAAATGAAATATTATTTGAAATGGAAAAATTAGAAAAAAATATTTACATACAGAAAAAACAAAAAGAGTTATTTCGCCACACAAGTTTCTTAATTATTACAATTAAATTTCTAATATCAACTAAAATACCTAGTAAATTTATTTCTGCTGGGATTTTATTTTTACAAATTCGGGTCCAAATTGTAATTTTTATTATTTTCGCTTGCAAGGCAACGGGCTAGTGGGATAAATTGTAAATATCGGTTAATTATTTAGGTAAATTTTTGTTTTCATTTTCTCCGTTTAGCTAGAAATCCACCGGATAGTAATCTTGCCGAGTACCGGATAAACCAGATATCAATTAAAACCACTATAGCTAATGGTTTATGTCTTTCCAGTAAATACTATAGGAAATTGATGAAATGATTAAAGAGTCGCCAATACACAATGAATCTCTTCACAGCACATACTGTTAAATTAGCAACAATTTAGTGGTCATGACAGAATTTTTCTTCTATATTTCTATTTCGAGATCCGCTATGTATAGTGGCATCTTGACGGTCCTATCATTTTTCTCTGTCAGCTCCAGGCTGGACTCATGACTAAATTATAAAAGGAATATTTTTCAGCGACAAATTACAACCCTTTCAGTACTTTTCTATGTCATTTTTATCCCGATGAACCTACGCTATGTATATAGTACCAGCCTAATATCAGGCAAACATTCGTCTATTGATACCAAATTAGCGATAAATTATAGTGTACACTAGAAAAAAGAAATAAAACTTTGTCGTGCTAGCTTGATTTGCATTTATTTTTGCTACTTCCGTATCAGAAGGTGTCTTACCATATTAAGTGTTCCCTTTTTGTTATTCTTCCACGGCGCCCTCTGTTCTCTTACCCTAAAATTTCCTCATTTCTAATGTTTTCTGTCAACGGTATTTTCATCGTTAACATTATCATTAAAAAATAAAATTAAGTCTATTATATAGATTTTGTTATTTATCTTAAGTAAAAAAGCATTTTTTACCATTATAAAATTGATCAATTGGTATAGGATTGCTGAAATTATATCCGAAAAAAAACTTCATATACATACCTTGAACAATTTATATTAACACTTTTACGTATGTCAATTGGGATAAGTTGTATTTCTCTCACAGTTGTAAAGTATTTATATGGAGTACAACAAGCTTCTAAAGCGGTTTTAAAAACATGTGTTTTCTTTACAGATTCACACAAGGTTTTGTGGACGTTAGAGAACGCGAACGAAAATACAAGAGGGGTTCAAAAGAACAAGGTCGATCACTCATGAATCTGCATAATAACGAAGCTGGCAGAAGGGTAAGTCTTATTATTCGGCATTTTATTAGCATGTGCATGCATTCATAAGGGTATGAATGGCATAGAATCGAATTTCATGTGGTATAATTGATACTTAACCAGTCTAATTGCGTAGAAATCTACATATAGGATGATTCAACACAATTGGCCTATTTCACAGTCCAACAACTTTAACATTAATTATTTGAGTATTGGTCGTGTTAAATTGTGTATGCGTAATATAAATGTTAAATATTAGAGGTGCTCTGGATAATGTTTATTTTCTTCGTTCTCGCGGATTTTCCATTAAATACCCCACTCTCCAACGTCTCAAACCACAATCCCGTTTAAAAAGTCATTTAAACACTAAACGAATGAAATTTTAATTCTTGATTGGCGGATTTTCAACGAGACAGTTGCGTTTAAGCCGTTTAAACACTAAAAGTCTGCGAAGTGGTAAAATCATACTAATTAGTTATCGCTAATCAAAACCTAATATTTCAACAAGTGATACAAATTGTGATAGTTTGGCCATACTGAAGTATTCTTGTTCATAACAAAAAGTAAATATATGAACTATATCTAAATAACAAAGCATTTAGTACAGTAATCAATAAATATTACAATTTAGGGTAAACGACCTATTCCAATACAATCTTAATTGCCAATTTTCATATTTACAATTTTTCTCACTAGTCCCTTGCTTCGTAAGCGAAAGGCGAAAATAATAAAAATTGCAATTTGGATTCGAAATCCCAGCAGAAATAAATGTATTAGGTATTGTAAGTTGATACTAAAAGAAGAGCATACCACATCCCGAACAGTAGTTTAATCTAGGCCTTGCTCTTTGTGCCTGTTTGTGACGTATATCAATATACCACGACAGATTTGTATTTCTTATTTCTAAAATGCTCTATAATTCCTCGCTAATTTGCTACTAAATCCAAATATTTGTGGCTCAGTTGGAAAATAGACGAAATGCTAGCCTGATATCAAGCAAGCATTACATATAGCGTACCTAGAAGGGCTATTATTTGTCGTTACTTTTTTGCTGACAACGTAAAAGTTACAATTTTCGATTGTAAATGACTGAATTTGCCGTAGAATTAGTAGAATTTATTAGGTAATTTGTAATAATCTCAATTTTGACATGTTTCTTCAAAAATGATTTCAANTCTAATATGTCTCTGACTAGACCTTCATGCCTGAGAAGGTGTCCTACCAACCTATCTCGCCTATTTTTTATTGACTTCCATAGAGTCCTCTGTTCTCCTATTCTTTCCAATACGTCTTCATTTCTAACCTTTTCTACCCACGATATCCTCATCATCCGCCTATAGCCTATAAATGGGTCATATAATGATAATAAAAATAAGACTGGCACAATATTCAAAAAGTGTAATGTATTTAACTAAAACCTCTATTAATAGTAATCACCGCCTTTTCAATACGAAACAAAACAACTCAGTAGTTAATATCAAGTACGTTTATCTAGACGTTTAACTATTATTTGATATGACTAATTACTATTAATTAGTTATAATTGGCGTGTTCGTGAGATTCCCAATTAGCATGCGCATATTATAAACTTTCATTTTAATTTGACCAATAAAACGAAAATGAATCGATCTGGTTGTTTTAAATCGTGTTCACGTACATTTTAATTTGTATACACTCGATTGGATGGATATGTTTATTAAAACTTTTTCTCTTAATTGATACCTTGTGAAGTGTTACAACTTTTTTTTTTTAATGTGCTACCTACTTGCAACGATCAAGGTGAAGGCTACAGCGATTAATCTAAATCAATCGTAAACTTATTATTTTTGACCTGTATTGTCGTTTTCCATTCTCGTCTGCATTTTATTTTTTTATTGTTTGCAGGCAGTAATAAAGAAATCAAGAGTCACATGTAAATGTCACGGTGTATCGGGGTCCTGTTCCTTAATTACCTGTTGGCAACAATTAGCAAATTTTAGAGAAGTCGGTAAGTACCTAAATGTTTACAGGTTTTTTAGAATCTTTTCTTTCCTTTATTTGTAATACTAATTAAATTGTATACACTTTAACGGTTAAAACACTTAATTTCACAATTTGCGTGACAGTTTTGTATTTGATTGACTTCTTCATGGAAAATTTCATCATCGTAGGGTTAAACACGCATCTCCAGTCCTTGCTATCCTGAGTCAATCTCCTCATTTCCGAAAAATTTAAACATCCCACATTCTTAACTATTTCTAATATTGCCTTTTCTCAGTCCCTCTTTACTCCTGTTTCTGCTTCTAAGCTGTCGTTACTTACTTAATCTTTCAGAAGTCAGAATTTGATAGGTTCATTAATTTAATCTTTTACTTTTTCATATCATATTTAATCTTTTTCTAATTTTTGGCCTTTCCTAGTTACGGTATCTTCTTCTAACTTTTTACTTTCTATCTCCGCCAACGGTCAACAAAGATCA